TTTTTGTCGAAGTAGGTGTATTGAGCAACCTCAAGGCCGGCATCTTTGAAGATGGGTGTGTGGTTGCCCCAACTAGAGAGACGCGAATTATGCTTAACGCAGTTGCTCGACAATGTGAATGTAGCGCTTCGCTTTGGCTACCCACCTGGGCGCAGGGAGATAGATCTTCTTGCCGCCGGCACCTTCGAACCAGCGAGCGATGAACTCTCCACCTATGCGGAGCGCGCCGGTGCCGGAGAGAGACTGAGCCGTGACGAGCTGTGAACAGTGGCATTTCGTCAGACCTCTTCCATTCCGCGTCTGGTTTTGCAGGAAGCCTTTCGGCACCCACCTGTCCGTTCTTCAGCACAGGAGAGTCCTTGCCGTAGGCCAGTTCAGCAGCAAGCTTGTTGTATTCTGGAACTCCGGTGATGGGAATGTACTCCTTATCAAGCGCAAGGTCCTGAATGCTACGCTCGGCCTGGAAGCGGTCATAAGCTCAAACGATTAGCAACGGTCACAGTCGTGCGGTCAAAATAATAGCATTTCGGCGCCCGGTTTGACTGACCTTGCGGACGGAACTCAGAACGTAAGGCTTGCCGTTGTCGTCGCGGTAAGCTCCGACGCCCAGGTTCATCTTATGCGGGTTGCTATCAGCCTTGAAGGCTTCGGTGACACCAAGGATGGCATCGGGCGGGCCTGTACGATATGTAGTCAGCTAAACGCTTGCGCCGAGATCGGAAGGTGACCAAGGGGACGGTACCCTGCTTGACATTGGCCCACAGGGAGCCGCACCTGACGCCGAGGGCGCGGGCGAGCGGCAAGCCAGGAAGAGCGCTGCGAGAAGCGCTTGCGGCGAGGAGCGAGCGGGAAGAAGCAGCGGCGAGCATTGCTGACGGGTTTGCCGGGTGATCGCAGAAGGAAGAGGCCTTTGTTGACAAGCGGTCGGCGCAGAAAGAAAGCGCGGACGCGGCGATTCATCTTGCGCTTTTCCCTCAACCCATCTTGCTTGGCCATGTCGGTCTCCCAACCTCCACCTCCGCAACCGCCACCTCCACTACTTCTCCATCGCCGCTCTTCGCTGAAGGCTCCCGCAGGCGCTGCGTCGCGCTCAGCATCTCACATCCCACACGGTCATGAGCTACTCATCTCGCTGCTCGAGGAAACCGCCGCTGCCGCCGCTGCTGCCGCTCTTAACAGCGCAAATGCCGCCCTAGATCCGCCGCATACACCGACTTCCGCATCGCACCACAGCGACTCTCTTCCGGCAGCGACACGCCGCCAGTCTTCATTTCCATCCCGCAAACCGTCCTTTGGCGTTGACCACAAAACTGCCGACGCCCCAGGGAGGAAGCGCGCATCTGCCGCTGCCCTCCCGCCGGCGCCAGAACACCCCCAGCAGCCGCCGACGCCGCCTGCACTGTCAAAAGACGTGTTCTCAGATCCAGAATATCAGGCTTACCTCGATCACCTCACGTCGTGTTCGCTTGACGCACTGAAGAATGAACCTGCGAGCCTCAATCGCGAGGCCACGCGGCTCCAGCAACAGCTCGCCGATCTCGCATACACAGAGTATGGCTCGTTTCTGCGGGCAAATGAGTGCACGCGATCCATCAGGGACACATTCACAGGGCTGGAAACTCGCTTGGCCTCTCTGACGAAAACATTGCCCGAGCTCGAGGCCGCGTGTACGTCTTTTGCCTCCTCGTCAGCGCAAGAGGTTTTGAAAGAGCGTCGCCGAGAACACGTTGTGCTGAATCAGCATGCCAAGCTTGTGGAGATTCTGGAAATACCTCAGTTGATGGACACGCTCATTCGCAATGGCTATTACGATGAAGCGATGGACCTGCAGACACATGTTCAAAGACTCCTTCTACGGCATCCAAATTACTGCTTGTTGAAATCGGTAGCGGCAGAGCTGGATGCCGCAACCAAAGTTATGCTCACGCAGCTGGTCAACCTTTTGAAGGGCGACGTCAAGCTGCCTTTGTGCATTCGAGTGATGGGATACCTCCGGCGGATGGAAGCGGTACCGGAACCCGAACTCCGCCTCATTTTTTTGCAACAGCGCGACAAATTTTTCAAGAAACGCGTTGAAGAAGCCTGTGGAAGCGACCGACAACCGCTGGACGCCGCTAACGCGGCGCGCGAGCACGTCGAGTATGTTCGCAAATACGTTGATGTCTGCCGCGAGTGCTTCTTTGATATTGTCGCGCAGTACCGGGCGATATTTTCTGATGCGACTGCCGGTGCCCGCGCAGGCGCGACCGCGTCGGTAGGCGTTTCCGCCACTGGCGCGGCAGCGAGCTCCTCGACGCTCATTTACGACACAGCGTCACATACAACTCTAACGCATTCCATCTTGTCATCCTATGTGGTGCACCGGATCCAGCATCTCTGCGCCACATTGCAAGCGCACCTCCCGCACGTTGACGATGCGAGCCAGGTCGCCAGCTTGTGCACCCAGACCATGTACTTTGGCATGAGTTTGGGCCGTGTCGGTATTGACTTTCGCGCCGTCGTTGCCGGTTTGTTTGAGGACGCCGTGGAAGAGATTGTACGGCGAGCAATCAGCGACGGCGTTGATGTTTTTGACGCGTGGATTGCAGATATGCGCGCGTTGGCGAGTTCGGCCGCGATTGCCTCCACGCCCGAAATTGGAGCGACTGGCGAATTTGGGTCGTTGACGCAGCAGCCGGCGGTCGGCGTTCCATCGGGTGGTGGGGTGACCCACCCGTTTTTGAAAGGGATTTACGTCAAGCATTCAGCTGCACCTTCTGCACGAGGAAGCGAAACGCCTCGAGCAGCAACACCCACCCTTCCATCCTCCATCAGCGCATCTGCCTCACTCGTGCAGGCCCCAACCGCGCTACTCGCCCACCCGCCAATCGCACAACTTCTAAACGCTTTCTACGCTGCATACAACCATCTCCGCGCCATGCCGACACTCGCCCTCCGCGCGCGCGTCGCGTCTGCCGTGGACTCTGGTCTGGCGGCTGCGGTAGCCGCGTTTACAGACGCTTTGACGCTATGGTGGGATGGATGGAATGCGCAGGACCGCGCGACTGCGGCAGCGGCAGTTGAGGCCTGGTGCAGCGTTTTCGTGCCAACCGTTGTTGGTGGGTTGGAAGCTATTTACCGCAATGGGAATGCCGCTGGGGGTGGGTTGTTGAAGATTGAGCAGTTTGTGGCGCCGTTGACGCCCTTCCGGAATATTGTGGAAGAGACAACGAGCCCGGCGGTGGTTGGGGCGGTAGTTGGGGCTGCGGAGACGGGAGACATTGAGGCGAACGAGGTGCTTGGTGATGCGTTGCCGCCACTGCCTGATTCGCGCCCACCGACTCCACCTCCACCGCCAAAAGCTCCTCCATCCCTCGCGGAAGATCTGCAGGCAGATGCTGCAGAGGAGGGAGGAGACGCGCTGAAGCGGCCGACAGATCACCCGTCCACACCGTGAACAAGCTACTTTCAAACGATGCGAGATTTATTTCATGTCAAATCACCGTTTGAATAGGGTAATATCACATTTTCGCCGACCGAAGGCCAGTTCGGCTCATTTCGAAACTGCACCGCTTCTACTCTTACAGCCCCACCGGCTGGCGTTCAGAACTTTTCGGCGTTTATAACGCATGAGTCGTGATACAGAGCGATATGCCGGATCGCGCTTAACACGGACGTAGATGGCTTCCTATGAGCAGACCATTGTGGTCGCGGGTATCCGGATTTAAGCCATCTACCCTCCCTTGCAGTGCATGATCCAAACAAGATGACTCAGTCTGGGAGCAGGGTTTCAAGCTGCGCTTTTTTCACTGTCACGAGGCCACTCACTTCCGTCCACAACATGGGCTCCCCGACCCCTTCATCGCAGTAAAAGGCGAAGTCGCATCCATCGCCGAGCGCGTATTCATCATACCGCGGGTCGGTTTCAGCTCGCACGAATACGGCATTCTTAAGCAGCACGGTTTCCGGTCTCGCATGTGAGGAACGTAGAAACCGACCTTCCGTTGCGGTCGTTATGGAGCCGTTGTTCCCCCAAATCACCACTGGAGCTCGGACCAAGTCCCGCTCGTAATAACTGCGGTACTTCTCAATCAGCGCTAGCACTTCCTCGGGAGCATATCTGACGCAGTCGGCCAATATATGATCCAAGCAGACATATGGGTTTTTGGCCTCTTTTGGCTCGGGAAACCCGTACTTGACGGGACATTCAATGCTGAGTGCGGCTTGCGAAAGCATGAGCGCTTTGCGATGCTGGTAGGCGGCCGCCTTGAAACCCTTGGACGTGAGTGCAAGACGAATGAATAACTCGGTGTCGGCATGGAGCATCATGTCGGTGTAAAGGAAGCTGACTATCTGTTGCGCAACCGTGTAGGGAACCGTGGGCATAGTGGGCGGATATGTGGCTGATCTGCTGGCGGTTCCAGAAGGGTAAGCAAGGCGAATGATATACTGGGAGGATGAGCCAGGCGAAAACGCGGCAGGCAGTGTCTAACCGAGTGAGTCATGCGATATCGGTACCATAAGGGTCCCCGCCGCAAACCACTCGCAACTGCCATGATTTTTGGCTGGCAGGAGATCATATATTGTATGTTACATTGAGGAGAGTTCCTGACGCAAATCTTGTTCTACCTTCAATTCCAGTCAAAGTGTGCACAATATTTTAGCGCTATGGATATAGTTCCAGTAGTACACGCATGTGTAGCTGAGCTGGTCGCCTTCATGACTCACGTAGATGGTGTCCTTGACGAGCAGAGCAATTTGCCCAAATACTCTTTTGCCGAGACGTCGACCTCCCTCGAGGAACGTATGTCTCCTTGGTCTGTAATGAAGACTAACCCACCATTTCTCATGTCACGGTCCACATGATCGCGGTGCTTTTCAAGTGGCTTTGTCTGCGGGCCGTAATCACCAGGCAGGTAATAGCGTACAATGAAGGCCTGGTGCAAGGCAAAAGATTTGACAAAACATTAGCTACTACAAAATGTGCAAGCTCCTTTGACTCAAAAAAGACTGCATCGCTGCTTCCTCGCAGGGAATCGAACCCTGGCCTTCACAGTGAGAGTGTGAAATCCTAACCACTGGACCACGAAGAATTGGACATTCGAACTAAACAATAAATGCTTGAAATTGATATGAGGAGTCACAATTTTTGTATCACCCGAAGCTGACCAAAAACAAGCGAAACAAAGCTGCCAAACTCCGCTCTGAAATTCATGCGCTATCCCGTTGCCAACTGCCGCCCGCTCCAGCTACCACGCCCCAAAAGCCAATCGAAAGCTGCCACTCCAAATTCATAAAATTGCTGATTTCTTCACCAAACGTACGAACTGAATGACTTCGGTGCTTGCACCCGAAATCCCTCCGGCGGGCGATCCGTCAGGAGCTTCAGCTCTTCCGCAACACGCAAAACGACCCATCGGCGCAACTTTACTGTCAAACTGGGTTGAAGAACGAGCTTGCTGCGCGCTAGGACTTGACGACCAGCCGGTGTCTCGGGCTCATGCCGTGAGTTGGGAGAGAAGGGCTTAACCGGGCAAACTTGTGGTTGTGTCGCTTTCTAACACCTCCCCTTGTGCTCTCCTATACAGGACCTCCTCGTTCACTCTCCACCAGGCCCATGCTATGAAACTACACAGCAGGCCATGTCGGCACCCGTGTCTGCCGCCCACGCCGCGTCATTGCAGCAGCAGGTGCTACACAAAACTGTCCCGTCGGCCGGACGAGGAGGAGGCAAGCGGCGCCAGCAGCGAGACGCAGAGCTGTTGATGGAAGCCGTAGCGGAGGCCGCAAGTGCGGCGAAAAGGCAAGAGGAGGAAGGAAACGTAAGTCGCGGTGCGGCGCAATGGAAGAGTACGTGCAAGAGCGACTTCGGGCACGAGGATGTTTATGGCAAAGTGGAGGACTTGGGCGCGAGGCCGCCAAGCGAGGTGAGATGCTTTTTTTGCGAGAGGCAAATCGACGTTTGCGAAAGCTGCTGTCTTAACCTGGGGCAAAATCACCTCTACTAGGAGGATTCCCGACGCTTTGAGACGCCCATCACATTCTGGTCCGACTTTGCAGGTAAACAATTCCTCACTCATCTCGTCGCTCATGGGAACGCCAGATGCTGACCCCCCTTCTCCCCCCCCCCCCGGCGTCCCCTTCGTCGCTTTTAGTCAAAGGCAGCGGCACAACCGTCTCCTCACTCAAAGCGGACCCCCACCACCACCCGCGCAGCCACGGCGGGTTCAGCTACGAATGGCGCGGCGACGAGCAACCGCGACGCATTCCCGGGCCAGTCGGACACCGTGCTGGGCAGGCTCGCCAGCACGATGCATCGGGCGCCGGCGTGCGGTTTGGCCGGCATGCCGAGTTTTCAACGCCAATTGGAGAATACGCAAAGGGGGCAGTTAAAGACCTTTGAGGAAAATCAAAGTGGGGTATTACGCCAGTTGAAGATTTTCTCTTTCCTTTTCCATTAAATTTTGAGGTCAGCAAACTGAAGTGACCTTGCATGACTACGGACGGGAAAGACAAGTCTGACTACTAATTTTACGGTGAAAGTGGGGGTAAAGGGGCTACAAAAGAATTACGCCCTCCACTTCTCGACGCGGAGAGTAACGGTAGTAAAAAGAGTCGGCGCTTTGGAGCAGAGGGTCACCCAATTGCAGGCCTCCTCCAAAACGGTTTCGTGCTTGCCCGAGCCGGTGAGCAGGGCAGTCCACCAGCGAGTGTGGAAAGATTGAAATGCGGTGACGACTCTTGCTGCTCCTGCTGCCGCTCCTGCAGGTGTTGCTCGCTCTCTGCGGCGGACGCTCGCTCATGCTTGCTCCTCCACGGCCGCAAGGAGAGCATCGAGCAACTTAACACCCGCTTGATACCCTTCCAGGGGCTTTTGCGCCAGACCGGCTTAGAAGCAGGCTGATGCGCAAAGGAGGAAGAGAAATCTGTTGACGCAAACGAGGAAGCAGAGAGCGGTCGCAGTCGAGAAAGACTGGGCTTGGAAAACATGGACTGGGAGGACTCTGAATGCTGTTCGTTAAGTTTCATGGTGGGAAGGCTAGCGCGGTGACCGAGGGTTGCTCGCAATGGCGACGCGGGTGAGGAGGGTATGCCCTTTAGCGAGTCCATGCTCATCTTCCGCACCGCGAGCTCCGCTTTGGCGGCCGCATCTCTTGTGATGTCTTCCACACGCCGCGAATACTTGCTGAGTAGCACACTGTCGCCGAGCTCGCTGTATTCTGGCCGCCATTCTGCCCGCAGTGGCGACGGATCCTTATAGGAGATGTTTTGTGAGATGCGATTAAGGCGTCGGCGGTTACGGCGCCGGGCATGCATGCTGGTATTTATCGAGCCGGAGGAGTTGTTATTGCCGACTGCGGCGAGAGTTGCTGCGAGCGACTCCTGAGTCGTCCAATGCACCGTCGGCTGTACGATGCGAATATGGCCCATCAAATTCGCGATGGGCACGCGCACGCGGATAGACTTGCGAAGCAAGAGCTTCCGGTATGATGTAACGTAGGTTTGTCGCTCCAAATCGGGTTCCAGGCGCGGCAAAACGAGCTCGCGTGCGAAGCGTAAGGGCGATGATGGTGGCTGCTTCGGCGATGAAGACGGACCTGAAACCACTTCAGCGGTGGCTAACTTGAGTCGAGAGTGAACTTGAGTAGGGGCTGGCGATACGGCTGCGGACCGCAAACTTGTAAACTTTGTTCTCCTGCGAAGGGCTTCTCGTCCTATCTTTGCGTCGCCGGGCACTCGCCGCCGGCGAGGAGTGCCCAGTACATATGCCGACACGGACGCCGCCGGAAGCATGTAAATCGTCACGGATGGAGTTAACGTCAACGACCGCCGCCTCCGCAGATTTGGCGCTGTCCCACAAGCGTCGTCTTCTGGAGCGGTTAAGTGCATCGGTGCACACTCCCGAACCGACTCCAAGTCGCTGAAACTGCGAGACCGACGCTTCGCAACTGTCCGTGTTACCGATCGGGTTGCCGGGTTGACGAGAGAGGTATGCTTTGCGAGCCTGCGCTGAGGCCGCGCGACTGGAGCCGAGGAGCAGTGGTGGGTAGATCCAAACGGCGTTTTGTCGGTAACGGACGACGGCTGCATGCAGAGGGTATCCTGGTGAAGCATGGTGGAAAGCTGCAGACCGTTTTTCTTTGGGAACAGACGGGTGACGATCTTACTATATGAAAGAGTTCTCTGGGAACCTGGCGTTTGACTTCATGAAATGGCGGCAGGAGGGGGTAGGTGGAAAAGGAGAAGAGCACACCCACCGAAGGAGTATTACGTCCTTTCTCGCTGGCGAAAAAAGAAAACTCAACCTGTTTTTCACCGCCGGGGGGCGGGCGGCTCGGCAGCACAAGGAAGATGATGCAGATAGCGCGGCTTTGCTCGCAAATGGCATCGATTTCTTCCCGCAACTTGAATACCGGTACAATTTGTGCTTGCGCCCCGCCCTCGCACTTGGAATGGGCCTGGTGGGGTTCACGCCCGCTCGTGCTATGTTCCGCCCAGAAATTCCAGCAAGCCCGGGAGGGAGGAGGCAAATCCGCCTTGGCCCTGGTGTCGTGGGCTGCCACAAATGTCAAAGAGTAAAAGAGAAAAACTCCACGCGCGAGCAAAGGCAATGGCTGTGCATTTAATGACCGCGGACTTCGCGTCAAAGACACAAGGTGACGTTGAGATGGTCAAGCAAAGTGTATATGTACGCCGGCCCGTCGCCGGGTCACAGACTCACAGCAGCAGTAGTGACGACATGACGCCGGTAGTGCACGAGCTGGTGGCCTTTTTAAGCCCCTCATAGAATGCAGTTAACAGCCTCGCCGTCAAATTAGAATACGCCCAAAGTGTGTCGTCTGCACGCGCCAAGCTACACCACAACTGCTCTGCTTCCGTATCGAGCGATAATCACACGCTAAGCTACTTTAAGGCCCTCCTCCAAAGTGGGAATGGTTAAAAAAAGCCTAGGTTCGTGTCGACGCGTAAACAAAAGACACGCGGAAGAGAGCGCGGGTGAAAGAGCTTGCAAAAAAGAAGCGCGTGTGGTGCTCAAGCTGAATGCACAGCTACGGACTCCCCATGGCTGTGGCGGTCGGAGTCAGTGGCGACGATGTCGCTGGGGTGTTAGATGTGTTGCCCTCTTCGCGATCGCTGGTCTTTGAATCCAGTTTGGCCTTTTTCGTGCTCCGCTCCTCTTCGCCTTCGTCGTCATTGTCAGTATCAGATGCGGAGCGCTTTTCCGCTGACTTGCTTTTAAGCGCAAACAGGATCTTCTTTGCTGGCGGGTTAGGCCCGCCAATGGGCCCGGATAACTTGTTAAATGACAGCGCATGTGAAGGCCGAGAAGCCACTGGCGCAGGTTTCGGCGACAAGCTTAAGGATGATGATACTGACGTTCGGCGATTCGCAAGAGCAGCTAGCACATCATCCTCATCGTCGTCGTCATCATCGGGGTAATCCACAAGGGGGATTCGTGGTGGTGGTGACGGGTTGCTGCCTTGGACGCGCAAGTCGGGTGAGGCCCGTACAAACTCGATTGTATGGCTGCTTCGTGGGGTACTTGAAGTAACAGTCGGCTTTTTGGGTGATGGATTGTGGGGTGGAGTCGTGGCAACTGTAACGAATAGACCCGGACTAGCTGGAGACGGTCCTATCTCTTCGTCATCGCCGTCATCCGCGTTGAACCAGTCATCCTCGCTCTTGTCCTTCCGGAAACCGTCTCGAGCGGGCTGGACATCCGGTCTGCGCAAATCAAGAAATTTAAGTTCATGCACCGTAACATATATAGCTCATGATTCACTGCAAGCGTCATACGTTTCTGGCGTATCCTCTTCCGGTGGCGGGTGAACGTTTTGTTCATACTTGTCAATCAATTTCTGGCAGGTCTTCACATACGTTACGTCGACCAGGTCCGCTCGGTAATTTGTGACAAGATGTGCAACGATTGGTTTTGGGTTTTCCTGTTGACCATCCCGCCTTAATTCAGAAAAGTGATTCGTTTCCAGTCGACCATTTGGACTTAACTCTCATGCACTCACCCTGACAATAAACTCAAATAGCTCCAAGCATGCTGAATTGAAGAGATTGTACTTGAACTTGACGTCAAGGA